AATAGAATAGAATAGAATAGAATAGAATAGAATAGAATAGAATAGAATAGAATTTTTTTATTTGCCAAGTGTCATTGGACACACAAGGAATTTGTCTTGGTGTGGATGCTCTCAGTGTACATCAAAGAAAAGATACATTCCTCAAGAGTCACAAATCATCAGGTACAACACTTAATGATAGTCATAGGGTACAATAAGGAATCAAATCACACTAGGAAAACAGTCAGTATAGATCATAAGGATACAAGCAACAAGGTTACAGTCATACAGTCACAAGTGGGAGGAGATGGGTGATAAGGAGGGATGAGAAGATTAATAGTAATAGTAGTGCAGACTTAGTAAATAGTTGGACAGTGTTGAGGGAATTATTTGTTTAGCAGAGTGATGGCATTCGGGGAAAAAGTATCCTTGTGTCTAGTTGTTCTGGTGTGCAGTGCTCTATAGCGTCATTTTGAGGGAAGGAGTTGAAACAGTTTATGTCCGGGATGTGAGGGCCTCTTTTTGACTCGTGCAGTATACAGTATAGACAGAATCTGTATCAATGGTGTAGCTGGAGCTCCCTTATCATGTGTACTTTGGCCTCAAATTTGCATTGGGTTTTTTTTAACCAAAGAACATAGGCAAAACAACTAGGTTTACACGAAGGTTCATGAAATATTTTCAATCTGAACCCATGTGGAACACTGGAGGGCCACAAAGGATCAGATCTGCACAAAATAAGAGCCAATGGGCATGTGAAAATATCCAGGGACCAAGTCTCTAATGACAGACATGTTAAAATAAATAAATTGCATGCCAAAACAACTAGACAATCCCCCCACCCCCAAAGCTATAATTCTTCTGAACACCTAATTTCTACAGTGCTGCCTTGGGCCTAAAGATATTTACCCATGTAGTAGGACTGCGTTGCTGTTATCCTTCTCATTTTCTCATCTTCTCATTCCCCGTCTTTTCTCATCTTTTCTATCTTCTCCTATTGGTATCTTATAATTTATCACTTGTCGTTTGTATCTTATGATTCGCGATTGTAACTATGATTTATGATCTATGACCTATCACTTTGTTGTTTGTATGTACACTGAGAGTTTATGCACTGGAGGCAAATTCCACGCTTGGTCAATAAAGAATTCCTATTCTATTCTGTACTCCTATCCTGTCCTCTTTTAACGACCCCATAATTCCTTGCAGGGTGGAGTCTGGCCAACTGAATGGAGCTAGCAGAGTGTTTACTGGCCGGATGCCCTTTCTGTCGCCAATAAGGAGTTTTGTTCAGCAGATATATTCTCAGTGTGTCCAGAGAGAGATATATCTGCCTCTATAGACCTTGATGATTCCCAGATCCAACAAAAGGGTTAGGAGGCCACATCAAGAGGAGAAATTCCCAGAGCGAAATGAATGTGAAAAGTGGAGTATAGCCATCAATCCACCGGATGGTTTCCCATCCCTTTCAGCTTTTAATCCCTAATCTTTAGTAACAGAATAAAGATATCCGCTTAGCTTTCGGGGATAATTGAGCCCAAATCCCTGAAATGTTTTATTTATGGAGGAAAAATAGAAAGATAATCACATTAAAGGACCCCTGTCATTGGAGAAGAGGGATGAATTTAAGAATGAGTTTACACTTTGTGGCAAGACAAAATATAGATGACAAGTGATCCTTGATTAATGGTTATTTGTATAGTGACTATTCGAAGTTATGACGACACTGAAAAAAGTGACATGACCGTTTTTCACACTTATGACCGTTGCAGCCCCTCTGCGGTCATATGATCCAAACTCAGGTGCTTGGCAGCTGCCTTGTATTTATGACGGTTGCAGTGTCCCTGGGGTCACGTCATCCCTTTTTGCGACCTTTTGACAAGCAGAGTCAATGGGAAAGGCAGATTCACTTAACAACCAAAAAACAGATAACAGATAATCAGAGTTGGAAGGGACCTTATAGGTCATCTAGTCCAACCCACCACCCAAGTGGGAGACCCTATACCATTTCTGACTATGTTATGAATTTAACAATTGCAGTGATTCATTTAACAGCTGTGGCAAGGAAGGTCGTAAAATGGGGCAAAACTCACTTAACAGCTGTCTCGCTTAGCAACAGAAATTGTGGGCTCAATTGTAGTTGTAAGTCAAGGACTGCCTGTGTTTTGTTTGGCTTGTTGCGTGGAACCAACCTGGACTACACAATGTTTATTTTCTCATTACGTATTTCTGTGCATCGGGAAAGAAATAAAAATGCCCATTTTTCCGTAGCGAGACTGAGTCAGAAACAGCTTTATCAGTCAACAGGAATGCAACAGGAAATTTGGGGGGGGGGGGGGGAGGAATACAAATATACTTACAAGTAGAGGTGCTGAAAGAAACACCTGTTCGAAAAGAAAAAAACACAACACTATGTGATGTTTCCATTGATGGGGGAAAAAAAATCATATTTACAGCACTAAAAATTGCTTCGTCATTCCTCTCTCTATGAATTCTTACGCATGATAATTACACCTTGGAATAAACCAGCCCCCCCCCCTTTTTTTTCAAATTTGGCGGTTTTAAGACTTGTGGACTTCAACTCCCCAGAATTCCCTATACGCCTGACACAACAATCAGATCAATCCACTTGATGGGCTCCGTATCACTCTGGGCTCCCCAGGCCTGTTGACAAAACTACACATTCAGAGTCTTTGGAAAGAGTGTCACAGTAAGGGCCAACCTTATTTCCACAGAGTTGACGTTTCACAGGGAGGGAGCTACCCCAGAGAAGTCCTTCTTCTTGGTTCCCCTAGATTAGGGGTCGCCAACCTGTGGGCCGCGTTGCTGTGGGTGATCATGGTCCCATTCGCGTGAGCATTGCCGAGAACGTCACGCGTTACTTGTGCACATGCACCTGTTTCTCCCACAAAATCATCCCCTCTTTTTCCCCCCTCCCCTCCGCTTCGGACCACCAACCCAAAAAGGTTGGGGAACTCTGCACTAGATGAAACTTCTTGGGGACCCATCACATTCCCTACCTACTTAATCTGGTGGGTCAGGTAGGTACAATTGGGAATAGACAGTCCTTCAAAATAATGGTCCTGTCAGCTGCCGGCCTCTCCGGCAGCTGAATCAGAGGAGGAGGAGGAGGAGGTGTGGGAATCAGGGACAGCATCCAGGCAACCTAAGAGCTCCGAGCGGGAAGAAGGAATGGAGCTGGCAGAAAAAGGGAGGGAGAGTGTTATGTCCCTGGAACTTACAGAAGTTCCCACCCAGGTCCGTTCGCGTTGCGGGGGCGGTTGCCCTCTCTCATTGGCTGGTTCTCCCCAGCAGCCAGCTATAAAAGCAGGCTGCGGGGTCCAACCAGTCGCTGTTCGCTGCGAGCCAGTTCCAGGCTTGGCAAGCACGTTCAGTCCTTTATTTCCTAAATAAAGTATTGTTGCATCCATGCCCTGGTTCAGCCTCTCATTATCCGAACTTAACAGAGAGAGAGAGAGAAAGAGAGAGAGAGAGAGAGAGGCGGAGCCTGGGATGACCATCAGCCCTCAGATGGAGAGTCAACAGCCCCCAGGTCTGGAGGTGGTTGATGAGGAAGAGGAGGAACAACTGGGTCCAGTGCCTGACACAGGGATGTACAAAAGGCAGAGGAGAGGAGAGCATGGAAATCTATGGACCGGTCCTCGGGACAGAAGAGCCACTGCTGCTAGCAAAGTCCTATCCTAGCTCTGGGGATATAAGATGGCGGGGTGTGGGGGTGGACATAAATAGATGTGGCAGACAACTATTCATCTCCTTGCTGGTCAGCCCCTGATAGCCTGCACTTCTGTCTGGAAATTACCAGAATTCCTCTTGGAATCTGCAGCACCTTCCAAGCATGTGTGTGTGTGTGTGTGTTTGTGTGTATCTGCTGCTGGAATAAAGCGAGTGCATATCCAGGACTTCCTTTGCAAGCGTGGGGAGAGAGAAATAGAGACTCCGGGTGTGTTCGGCCATTTTAGTGGGAAAGGGAGCCAACGTCCCTTTCCACAGGATTTAGAGACTTCGTTAGCATAGTGAGAGAGAGCAGCTGCTGATGCGCCTAACAAAGGGAATGCTTTGTTAAGTACAAAGGGCTTGTCGTGTTTGGGAGCTGGGTCAAAACAGTGGCAACCAGCATCTTGAATTATCCCTGGAAGCGAATTGGCACCTCTCGCAAGAGAGGTAACGCATGTGCAAAACTAGACTTGCACAAAACCACACAGCCTGCCCCATTCTGAGCCCACTGCGGCTTCTGGATATTTTTCCTTAGGGTTTCCTTTGCTAGGAAGAGCTGACTGTGTCTATAAAGATCCTCTGTGATTACTTTCCGCTTACTTCTACTGGTGGCCGTAGTTGTGGCTTCTGGTGGGGAGCAGTTCTTTTTTAGACTGGACCGTCGTTCCAAGGATGGTGCAGGAGCTGCCTTAAGGTCATCCAAAGGAGCAGTTAGCAAGGAGTGTACAGGAGACCTATCTTTGTAGCGGTCCTCAAAGGAGGGTTTCTTTGAAGAGGTATAGCGAGTGGAGAGTTGGGACACTACAGGGAGCAAAGATAATGGGTGTTAAAAGGGACTGTTTCAAGAGACCCCCAAGGGGTTGTTTTTTCTGCTTTTTTTTTCTCTTACAAATGTGAACTATCATTTCTCTTGCTAATGTTATACTTCCATAAGACAAGGTCTATGGAGATTCTTAATCATCCAGGTCATGGTTGTCTCAAAGGTGCTTTTTTCAGGAGGTAACTGGACTTTGTTTGTTTTTTGAAGACATTCCACTTCTCATCCAAGAAGCTTCTTCAGCTCTGACTGGATCCTTCCATTCCCCACTAATCCAGTCAGAGCTGAAGAAGAAGCTTCTGGGATGAGAAGTGAAACGTCTTTATCAAGTCTCTAATTTTCTGGCTGAATATAGACAGGCAGCTAAACACTACAAAGGCTTCCATACAAAGTTTCTTTATTGGATTATATCGGGCATCCTCAAGGTATAACTCACAGTTATGCTGAGATTCATCTAATGTCCAATCTTTGCATTGTCATCTTCATAGTGTGAAAAGATAGTTATGTTCATCCCATAACGATAAAGCAAGGGAAGACTCCAGCACGATGCTGGGGTCCAGGTAAGAATGACCAAAATTCCCCCCAACCCAACCAGAGGCCAACCAGGATTACAGATCTGACCACGTGACATGAACAACATCTCCCAAGAGGTATTAACTACATTTCCCATGAAGCATTCCCTTAAAGGGACAGCTCTCCTTCCCAAACTAACTATATACTGTCTAACCAGCACAGTCTTCAAACAAAAATACAAGGAAGTCAAGTTGCCTCCTGAAAAAAACAAAACACCTTTGGGATAAACACCAGAAGCCATCAAAAAATGCTAAAAATTGTGATCATAATTGTATTTTGGGTGTTTGGCAACCCTCTAACATTCGCTGTGGGATTATGTGAGCCCTGGGTTAAGGTGGAAGGATGCATCCGTCAGAACTTCAAAAACGAGTTGTAAATAACTCTGGGGAGTTATAACTTTGAACAGTCACTAAACAGCTGGTTATGAAGTCTCTAGAGATTCTCAGTCCTCCAGGTCACGGTGGTCCCAAAGGGGCTTTTTCAAGAGGCAACTGGACTTTCTGGTTTTTCTTTGAAGACGTTTCGCTTCTCATACAAGAAGCTTCTTCAGCTCTGACTGGATGGTGAGGAATGGAAAGATTTATATTCCTTGCAGACAGGTGGCCATTTGCATCCTTTTAGAGGGTCTGTGAAACACTTGGAGGTTTTGTCTGAGGCCTCAGGATCACCTGAATAGCACTCCTGGCACTGAGAAGACTCTGAGGAACGTAGATAAACCTCTAAGTTCTTCAATGACCCTCTAAAAGGATGGAAATGGGCTCCCCGGGCTCCGGAGGCTCTCTGGAAGCTGGAAATGGGCCCATTTCTGGCCTTCCCAAACTTCTGGGAGGCCCGTTTTTTGCCCCCCCCCCAAGCTTCCGTGCGCGCCCTGCACTTCCCTGCATCCAAAACAGGCCACGTGGGGCGTCCTGGGATGGGAGGGGTGGGAGGGGCCATCCAGGATTGGGATTTGGGGGTTCTCCGAACTGTACTGAGTCTTAGCTAGGGGCTCTCCTGAACCCCTGGGAACCCCCAGCAGCCCAGCCCTGGATAGGTGGGATTACGTATTACACAGACGTTCCCTCGTTTAATGTCCAAGAAGAAGCTCACCACTGGATGTAAAAGGGAAAGTCGATTCTTGATCTTCGAGATCCCCAGGATGTAAGTTTAAGGCATCCCTGTAAATAAAACAAAAACAAAAAAGAAAACCAAGTTGTCTGTCTGTTACTCAGGAGCCACGTACAAAATCAGGAATACGGCCCGACATTACAAAAAAAAAGGAATAATTACAGGTAGTCCTTGACTTACAAATATTCAAACATTTAATAACCATGCGAAGTCACAAAGGGTGCTGAAAAAAGTGACTTGTGACCATTTTTCACCCTTACGACATCCATTGCAGCAGCAACCCCTCCCATGGTCACATGATTGAAATTCAGCCGCTTGGCAGCTGCCTCATATATTTATGACTGTTGCAAAGTCCCGGGGTGATGTGACTTCCTTTTGAGACTTTCCGACATGCAAGGTCAATGGGGAAGCCAGGTTCACTTAACAACCGTGTTATTAATTTAACAACAGAAGTGATTCACTTGACAACCATGGCAGGAAAGGTTGTAAAAGGAGGCCAAATTCACTTAACAACCATCTTGATAAGGAAGTGAACATACCTAATATTCCTTCTGCCTCCTGTTTTCCCCACAAAGATAACTCTCTGATGTGAGTTGGGCTGACTCAAGCTGTCTTTCATGGATAAGACAGAACTAGAACTCACAGTCTCCTAGTGATCGGTCTAAAGTCACCCAGCTGGCTTTCATGGCTAAGGTGGGACTAGAACTCACAGTCTCCTAGTGATCGGTCTAAAGTCACCCAGCTGGCTTTCATAGCTAAGGTGGGACTAGAACTCACAGTCTCCTAGTGATCGGTCTAAAGTCACCCAGCTGGCTTTCATGGATAAGGGGGGACTAGAACTCTCAATCTCCTAGTGATTGACTCAAAGTCACTTAGCTGGCTTTCCTGCCTAAGGCAAGACTAGAACTCACAGTCTCCTGGTGATTGGCTCAAAGTCACCCAATCAGCTTCCATGCCTAAGGCAGGATTAGAACTCACAGTCTCCAGGTGATTTGCTCAAAGTCACCCAGTCAGCTTCCATGCCTAAGGCAGGACTAGAATTCACAATCTCCTGGTGATTGGTTCAAAGTGACCGAGCTGGCTTTCATGCCTAAGGCAGAACTACAACTTCCAGTCTCCTAGTTTTCAGCCTGGTGCCCTAAGCTTAAGCAAAAGAGAAGGCCATTTCTGTCTCTGCTGAAAAATACCCCCGAACTGATCTTTTCTATCTGAAACATTTGTGCCTTCAAAAACTAAAGATCTTATGAAAGCAGAATGCAACTATTAGTTTGGTAGACAGACTTGGTTCCGTCACTGGAACAGACAAGGGGTTCTCTTCTTTCTTCCTGAGGCCCACACAAACGCTCAACACTTGTGGGTTGGGGGAAGACTGGAGGATTAGGAGGACTCTCCGAAAAAGATCTGGAAAGAGGTGCAGCTGGACGTTCCATTCCACAGGTAGTAATCAGAGGTGGCATTCAGCAGGTTCTGACTGGTTCTGGAGAACCAGTAGCGGAAATTTTGAGTAGTTCAGAGAACCAGCAAATATCACCTCTGACTGGCCCCACCCCCATCTATTCTCCACCTCCCGAGTTCCAGCTGATTGGCTGGGTCTTCTTTTGTTGCCCTGCACAGGAGAACGGAGCTGGAAAGCAGGTTAGTGGGGTAGGGAGAGAATGGGGATTTTATAGTAACCTTCCCCCAGGAATGGGGATTTTACAATATCCTTTCCCTGTCACGCCCACCAAGCCATGCCCACCAAACCACACCGTGCCCACCAAGCCACGGCACAGAACCGGTAGTAAAAAAAAATTGAATCCTACCACTGGTAGTAATGTTCAAATTGTACGATTAACGACAAGTTGATGCCTTTGCTGGGTCAAAGGACCAAACCAAGCATCACTTCTCACCTGCTAAAGGCTTCTTGACCCCTGGTCACCTCTGAAGGTAAGTCTCTGACTGCAGCCTCCCTGTATCGAGAGATAGAACTCTGTGAAAGTCATCAAAGAAAGCTGATTATTGGTGAAATAAATATATGATAACAATGACAAAGCAAGCGAAGAAGCTCCTTTGAGAAAAACGAGGTTGTTTACGGAATCCCAGGATTGGCCCAGTCTCCTCGGTGTAAAATATGAACCAAACCAAGCCAGTTTCTGAGAGAACCTTGCTTAGGATGTCCTTAACCAAGACAGTTTTCGTTCCCTGATTATTTCTTTAGCTAGCAGGGACCAGACTCTAAAAGCCCTCACAAGAAGATGTTTGCTTCCAACCCATCAGCCAGTAATTGAAATAAGGATTGATGACTTTTCCATATTAGAATACAATAGACTTGATGGAGCGTTATAGTTTTTTTAAATTCGCCTGGGAAATGATGCTTCCCTAAAATGGAACTTTTTGAGGGGCATTTCTGGAACAAGCTTTCCTTTCCTTGTGGGAGAAATTCTACTATCTTAGAAAGATGTATCTATAGCTGTGAGAAAAGAACATCGAAAGCTCAGCGTTGAACTTTGGGGTTCCTTGGTGCTCTCTGAACTTGGTGGTTTTCTTGCAGACATTTCATTACCCAACTAGGTAACATCATCAGGGCTAGCTGAGTTTGGTAGTGAAACGTCTGCAAGAAAACCGCTACGCTCGGAGAGCACCAAGGACACCACAGAATCTGTAACTGTACCCTTAATGTGGGACGAGTGAAGGCTAAAGAAAATATCTTTTTAAAATTTTCTCCATAACAGCATTCTGGATAGGCCGTTAATGTTCAAAAGATGTTTGATACCCCATAAAAATATATAAAAACATGCGGTGCTAGAAACGCAAAAGAAAAAAGGGAAAAAAAGACACATTATCTTCCATCTGGCTCAGTTAGAATATTTTGATCTTCCAGGTCAAAATTCCAGAGCCTCGCCTGCAGGGGTCATGTGTTCTTCTGCCAATGTTTTCTCGGCTAGTAAAGTCTCTGAACGAGGGCGGGGGGGAAATGCAAACACCACGTAATACACCATATTATTGACACAGTTTGGGGTAGTCATTCACTGTCTTATACAAAGTGGGCTCCTGACGGGGAAAAGAGATATAGCTGAGTGGTGGCTTCATTAGAGCATGGTGTAGAGGGGTGGGCTACTACCGGTTCACACCGGTTCAGGCGAACGGGTTGTTAATTTTATGGCAATTTTGGTGAACTGGCAAATCCCACCCCACCCTGGTCCCGCCCATTCCATGCTGGCCTTCCCAGGAGTCCCCACGCAGCCTGTTTTGGATTGTAGGAAAGTGCTGGGCCTGCATGGAGGCTCAGGGAGGGTGAAAAATGGACCTCCCAAAAGTTTGGGAAGGCCAGAAACGGGCCCATTTCCAGCCTCCAGAGAGCCTTCGGAGCCTGGGGAGGATGAAAATGGCCCCCCGTGGCTCGTTTTTGCTCCCAGGCCTGGGTGCTACAGGAGGCTGACTAGGCCATGCCCACCCAGCAACCAGGGCAGATGGCTGCAGGAGGCCGTCCCAGCCGAAAATGGGCCCTCCCAAGCTCTGGTTTTTGCTGGCAGAGGCACCGCAGGCCATCCCATCCCTGTTTCCGGGGTGGCCCTGCGGGCTAGATTTAAGCGCCCCATGGGCCGGATCTGGTCCATGGGCCTTGAGTTTGATACTCCTGCTCTAAATCCATTTTCAAAAGCAGTCCAGACTCCAGCTGATATCACCGATGCAGAATGAAGCAAAAGGGAACAATCAATAACAAGCAAGACCCTTCCCCAATTAAAAAGACTTGAGGAAAAAAATTGGAACATTGACGTTATTATATATGTTGTCGACACCGAGACCATTTTATGCACGAAAATGGAAGGACACTGTGATTTCCACCATAGATGAATGACGACAAAAATTGATGGGAGTTAGCAGAGATGGCTAAACTGATTGCTTTGGTCAAAGAACAAATCACAATTACTTTTGTTTCTATGTGGAAACCACTTCTGGACTTTGTGCTCAAGTGGGGGAGAAAATGAAAATGATTTTGGGGTTTTCTGATTCGATACGTTTGTCATTATAGAAATGGCTGGTTTATATTATTAGGTAAAAGTAAAAAGTTGAGGTCTGATGTTGTTATCATATTCTAGTGCATCAAAGAGAAGTCAATTCCTTTCCTTTCTTAATTCCCTCTTTTCTACACTTTCCCCTTTCCCTTTTCCTCCCCTATTTTTCCTATAATTTTCTTTTTGGATTGTATTTTATAAACTAATTAAAAAAGAAGCTTCCTCAATTACTGCTTGCAAGATAAAAACAGTGCTATAACAGTGAATAATCAGGATCTGTAGCATCTGGAAGTAGGCCACAGACTAAACCAGGGATGCCCAAACTTGGCAATTTTAAAACTTGTGGACTTCAACTCCTAGAATTCCTCAGGCAGCATAGCTGGCTGAGGAATTCTGGGAGTTGAAATCCACAAGTCTTAAAGTTGCCAAGTTTGGAGACTTCTGGACTAGACCAAAGGCAAAAGGTAGGCAAAATGACCTCCCACAGTTATAAAAATAGAAACACAAAACTCTTTGTCAACAGGAGTAGAACACCTGTAATGTATGCCCAGGTAGCAGAATTCGCCTCTTTTCTCTTTTCTGTGGTGCAGGTGCTTTGTCTATGGCTTCCAGCATTTGTCTATGGCTTCTGGTGAGTGATAATGGAAAATGTAAGTTCAACCACATACCCTACTCCGAGGGTGTCCAGCAGCCTTGGCAGCTTGTGGGCTTCATCTCCCAGAATTCCCCAGCCAGCATGGGAATTCTGGGGGTTGAAGTCCACAGGTCTTAAAGTTGCCAAGGTTGGATAATCCTGCCTTACTCCATGGTCTCCTACTACTCAACTGAGAGGTTTAAACAGCTGTTCCATGATACTACTCTTATCATCCCTATGATGACATGAATTTCTCCTATATTGGATTGCACCATGTCTTCATCTAGCCAGATTTCTGTTCCATGTGGAAATAGATCTCAGAGTTTTGAGAATTTCTCAACACTGATAACAAAATTCTTTCAAAGGGAGATCTAGGTTGTTAAACCTTATGTGTGTGCTTGTGCATATACCATACCGCTCTCCTTCCATCCATCCATCCATCCATCCATCCATCCATCCACCCATCCACCCGCCCATCCAGCTAGGACGCAACATCTTGATTGATCTCAAAGAGTTATGAAAGCTTGGATCTGGTTAATACTGCCAGTCCTCGACTTATGACCACAATGGAGCCCCAAATTTCTGTTGCTAAGTGAGTCATTTGTTCAGTGAGTTTTGCCCCATTTGATTACATTTTTTGCCATATTTGTTAAGTGAATCACTGCAGTCGTTAAGATAGCAACACATTGGTTAAGTGAATCGGGTTTCCCCATTGACTTTGCTTGTCAGAAGGTCGTAAAACGTGATCATATGACTCTGGGATACTGCCACCGTCATAAATGTAAGTCTGAATATTGATCACGTGACCAGAGGGATGCTGCAACAGTCATAAGTGTGAAAAACAGTCCTAAGTTACTTTTTTCAGTGCCGTAACTTCAAAAGTCAGTATTTTCAGTGCCGTATCTTCAAACGGTCACTAAATGAATGGTTGTAAGCCGAGAACTGCCTGTACTTGCCATGAAAAACACAAGGGCATCACAAAAACATCCCAGGAGAAGACATTGGCAAGTCATCTTTCAACCATTGCCAAGAACAACAACAGGGGGGTATTCAGGAAGTAAAGACAGACCGAGCTCAATTTGGAAAATTTAATCTCAATGGATTAACACAAACTCAGCGTAGGTGAGACGTCCATTGATGTCTGTGATTATCCTTGGCAAAGTCCCCTTTGCCTATAGGTCATTCATTTCCAAAATGAGAATCCTAAACACAGAAGTTACCAATATTTTGCATATCCTTACAGCGTACTGCTCAAGTCAGGATCGCTGTCACTTTCTGCTTTGGGGAGAATCGCAGAAGGAATTTCATCAATTGTACTTCGTAACTCTTGAAGGAGTTGTTTCAAATCTCGCAACGGATCCTCCTTGGTGTAATTAAGCTTGGAGGGCATCTGAATGGAAAGATGGATTTGGATTAGTGAAACACACACATACACACACACACACACACACACACACACACTCACTTACACAAAGGCCCTTTCCCTAACTAACTATTTCCCTTCATAGTAACAAGAAACAGTTTAGTGTTTCATCAAGCATTTTCTAAAGGAATCTGAAGATCTGACCAACGACTAAAAATTACTATGTAGTTTCACACTATTAATCTCCCTAAGAACTAGCTAAAAGATATTGGACAAAAATACATACATGGTTGGAAGAGATGATAAAACAACATATAGACTTAAAGCCTGAGATATTTTTTACTGGGAATCCTACCTGAGAGTTATAGTAAAGAAAATATATATATTTAATTATATATATATATTAACAGCAGCTAGAACTGTATTTGCTCAAAATTGGAAAAACAAAAAGATTCTGGGGCAGGAGGAGGTGATTAAGAAAATATTGGAATGGTCAGAAATGAGTAGATTAACTTGTTAAGTGAGTTTTGTCCCATTTTTTATGGCTTTTCTCGGCCACGTTCGTTAAATGAATCCCTGAGGGCAGTTAGATTAGTTACACGGTCGCTAAGTGAATCCGGGCTTCCCCATTGCCTTTGCTTGTCAGAAGGTCACGAAAGGGGATCACGTGACTGCAACCGTTGTAAATATGAATCAGTTGCCCAACGTCCGAATTTGATCATGGGACCATGGGGGATGCGGCCATGGTTGTAAGGGTGAAAAACGGTCATAGGCCACCTTTTTCAGCGCTGCTGTAGCTTCGAAGGGTCACCACACTGTTGTAAGTTGAGGACCACCTGTACCGACTTAACATCTGCAGTGACTCACTTAACAACGGTGGTTGAAGAAAGGTCATTAAACGGGGCAAAATTCGCCTAGCAAATGCTTTGCTTAGCAACAGAAACGGTACTTTCCTAAGAAGCAGGGAAGACATTCCCAAAAGGGTCGGGGAGAGAAACAAGAGGCAGCCCAGACCAGAGCTGGGTAGGAGATGGGGGAACAGAGTTAAGAAATCGGGGGGTGGGGGCTGCTGGGGGTTCACAGGGGTTCAGGAGAGCCCCTAGCCAAAATTCTGTGCGATTCGGAGGAACCTACAAATCTCACTCCTGGCTGGGCCTCCCCTCCCAGGAGTCCCCACGTGGCCTGTTTTGGATGCAGGTTAGTGCAGGGCGCGTGTGGAAGCTCAGGGAGAGCGAAAAATGCGCCTCCCGGAAGTTTGGGAAGGCCAGAAATCGGCCTGTTTCCGGCTTCCAGAGCGGAGCCCGGGGAGGCCGTTTTCGCCAATGGTGCGATTCAAATTTTTTTTTACTACCGGTTCTATGGGCGTGGCTTGGTGGTCATGGCTTAGTGGGCATGGCAGGGGAAGGATACTGTCAAATTTCCATTCCCTCCCCACTCTTGGGGGAAGGTTAGTGCAAAATCCCCCTTCCCTCCCCACCCCACTAACCTGCTTTTCAGCTCCGTTCTCCCAGGCAGGGCAACCAAAGAAGACCCAGCCAATCATCTGGGACTCAGGAGGCAGAGAATAGATGGGGTTGGCGGGGCCAGTCAGAGGTGGGATTGGCCGGTTCTCCGAATGACTCAAAATTTCCGCTACTGGTTCTCCGGAACTGGTCAGAACCTGCTGGATTCCACCTCTGGTTTTTGCCCTTCCAGAGGCTTGAGGAAAACCTCCGGAGCCCAGAGAGGGCAAAAACATGCCCCCCTCCCCCGCTGTGGTACAGGAGGCCAACTAGGCCAGTCCCACCCAGTGACCGGGCAGAGAACCCATTGTTACATTTTTTGAAGCCCATCCCTGGTTAAGAAGGCTGCCGTAATGTTTCATGTGCCCGAGCAGACACCGTACTTACATGGGAGATGTGGCCTGCAAAGGTTTGACAGGACGGTGCGCTGGATGAATGAGGCAAGGTTGAATAGCGCTGCTTCAGGGTGGAAGAACCCACAGTGTGTCCTGGTCCCTGCAGCTCCTGGGTTAGGAGATATTTATGAGTAGCAATAGCAATAGCTCTTAGATTATTATTATTATTATTATTATTATTATTATTATTATTATTATTATTATTATTATTATTATTATTATT